AAAACATTAGAATGTATAAAATCAGATCAAATATCAAAACACAAAACTTGTGCAAAGATGTTATAGTTCATAGTCACATCGACATACCAGCAATATATAAACCTTTCACTACAGTTTCAATGTCTGTATCTGTAGAATATCTCACAGACGAGGAAATAAATAACTCCTATTAATCCTGTAACTGCTTGTTCATGTGTTCTTTTATTGTATTTATCAAAGACAGCAACAGAACCGAGTCCGCCTTCGTACACTGCTCATGTATCCTCTGTGGACAACGGGTCAGTTTAAGTCCTTAAACATTATCCTTCATAGTTTAAGTTTTAGTCGGCGAAATCTTTCATTCGATGATCAGTTTATTCCTCTCTTTACGCTAATTGAGTAGGCTACTGCATGTGTCAGAAATTGGAATCAAGGGATGTTTATTTTATTTTACCAGGAAGTCTCAGTGAGATCAAAAAGAGAAACAAAACGTATTAAAATAAAACATTATATACAGAAAAACTGCACAATAAAACAGAAACACTAGATCAAGGTCTTTTATCACTTTAAACTTTACAACCAACATTTAACACAAAACTCTAAACCATATATTCAGTTTACTGTCACAGAGGAGTAAAGCTGAGGGTCCCAACCTAGGAGTCGAGACCCCCACTAGAGGTCGCCAAAGTTCAGACCCCCAAAGTCCAAAGGTCTTCTTGATTTTAAGAGGGGGTAGGACGATATCTCAGCATCTGGTTCACTTCTGTGAAGAAAGATACATGTAAACTGTCTAATAGAACAATGGTCAAACATCAGGGAGAAGAAAACACTGACTTTGTCAAAAAAAGAAGCTTATTAAGTGTTTGATTGTTAGAAAATGATAAAAATACAGAATACAGACAGAGAATTGTATAAAAAGTTCCCTAAACAGAACAAATCTGCTCAAAATTCATCCAAATCTCATTTTACACAAACTTCCTGCAGTTACCGAGTTCACTGTTTGGGTTCATTGTTCAGTTTTAATATAATATGAAATATGCAACATGTCACTGAGTCAGTTTGATAAATTAAAGAAAAAGGTTCATTAAGGAAACAGGTTGGGAACCAGTGAACTAAAGAAACCAGGAAATATTCACATTTGTGAAGCTGAAATCAGAGAATTTGGACATTTTATTATTAAAAATGACTCAAAACGATAAATTTATCATTAAAATAGTTCCTGTGTGTGTGTGTGTTGTGTGTGTGTGTGTGTGTGTGTGTGTGTGTGTCAGTGAAGCACTCTAACCATGTGATTTACTCTCAGCTCCGACACTGAGACCAACACCGTTACCAGATCCTCCAGGACACCCCGTGTACCTGAAACCCACCTCATCAGCACCTTACGACACACACACACACACACACACACACACACACACACACATACACACTTTGTGAAGAATGTGCTGGTGTTGAAGATTCAGTCGCTGGTCGAAGGTCGACTGAACTTCCTGACCTCGATCATAAAAACGAACCATTACTCTGCTTAACTTTCCTGTTTGTGTTCTGATCACCAGGAACAACGAATTATACACTTTATTACACATTATTACACATTATTACACAATATTACACAATATTACACATTATTACACATTATTACACAATATTACACATTATTACACATTATTACACATTATTACACAATATTACACATTAAACACGTCTCAGCTACAGATTTAAAACAGTTTTAAAGTGTATAAGCTGTTGGTTACATCTGAATGTCCAGTAACAGGCAATGTATTATGGGAAAACATATCAGTGAGACATTTTATATGACAATGTTCATGAATAGAGAAAAAACAGAGCGACTGTCAGAGTTGTGTTAATCACCACAGAGCAGTAAAATAATAATACGGATTCAAGATTATTTCATGAATCGTAACAAACTCTGTGTCCAGTTTATGTTCTCAGGAAGTAAAGTCTGGTGTGTGTCTAAAGGTTGAAGTTTGTCTGTTAGCAGCTGATAACCGCGCAGGTTCATCGTTGTAAAAGTAACGTAGAAAGTAGAGACAGCGTGGATTCAGCTTGATGGCGACTGGATTCATTGTGTATGGGAGATTTATCATATATGTAAAATGTTTTAAAGTCTAACATTTCACATAAGAAACTATCTGAAAGTCAATGAATGTATCTCGTGTAAAATAAGGTTGAGATCAGATTTAGTTTCAAATTATTTATTCTTTTAAGATTCACGTGTTTAAAGCTGCAGCAGGTAACTTCTATTAAAAGAAGGTCTTTTTGTCATATTTGCTGAAACTTTCACTGAATCCTGACAGTCCCAGAGTCCTAAAGCGTCCGTATTTGATGCCCTGGGAATTAGACTCAACAATCAATATGTTTCTCGGCTCTGATTGTTTTCCTTCGGGTCCGGTGGAGTCTTACAGATACCACCGGGAGCAGCCAGAGGAACCAGATTATTTCACAGATTATCTGTCTGATGTAAAACTGTCAGGATAAAGTGAAAGTTTCAGAAAATATAACAAAATTTTTAAATAAAAATTACCTACTGCAGCTTTAATTTGCTGTGTGTGTGTGTGTGTGTGTGTACATACCTACATATATACATAGAATATGGATCTCTTTTTAAATGTTAAACACACATACATACACATGTATATGTATAAAAGAAAGTTCCTATGTTCTTTATATGTGTGTTTATATATATGTTTATATATAAACATATATATTGTTATGAGTCTTTTTAAGGTGGATCAAATACCACTGATTGAATAGGGCGAGTTAGTTGATTGGGAGAAGCCACAAAAACTCAGTCATAACATATAGAAATGTACGTGTGTGTGTGTGTGTGTGTGTGTGTGTGTGTGTGTGTGTGTGTGTGTGTGTGAAGGTCAATAAACAAAACTGGATTGCGGAGTAACAGAAAAGTAATATAACTAGTAGAGTAACTAATTACTGTTGGCAGGAAGTAAAAAGTAAAATAATATTCCTTTTTAAAAGAGCAATAAATTAATACATAATAAATAAATAACATTTTTGAGTAACGAGCCCAATAAAAGATGCACATTAGATCAGTTTGAGAGGATTCTGTGTATCAATAATCAAACATAATAATAATCAATATTAAATACAATGAATAAAAACAATATTTCTTCCAGAAAATGTGATTAAAGTTAAAATATTCCTCCTCTTGTTGGACCCCCTACAACCCACTCAAGGGCCCCTGTCGGTCCCCGGACTCCAGATTGAAAACCACTGAGCTGTAAATGACAAAGTTTATTATTATTATTATTTTATTTATTTTCTTACAGTTTATTTGCATTTATTTACAAAATCATAGAGAATAAGAAGATGGAGAAACAGAAAGATTAAAATAAAGTAGATGACTAAGAAACGTGTGTTAAATAATTAATCCATCAGAGAGCAGATTGTGTGTCACGTCTTTGAACACTAGAGGGCGCCGTTGAGCTGTGAGAGCTTTAATCTGCACACTGAAAACAGGAGGTAGAGTTATAATAATCTATTGATTACTGCCCTCCTCTGATTGGGATCATATATATCACAGTTTGATCAGTTTTTTATCTCTAATGAGGAGTTTGTAGTCAGTGTGATTATCTGCTCAGATCTGCTCTGACTCTGATCTATTGATCACTCTGTGGTTATTCTGGTGACTCTGATCAATAATTAATGAAGTGTGAAAGCAGTAAACTGATGAGATCAATGTGAGCTTTACATTAATAACCTTACAGGTTTATTAGTGAAGGTTCACAGACAGAAGATTTACATTTCAGATCTTCTGTAAATAAAAAGGTTTAAATTATTTATTCAGTAAACAAAATCAATAAAAACAAAGTGATGATATTTTCCCCCAAAATATTCCTTTTGTTATTTTCACAGCCTGTAAATATTGTTTACTGATCACATGACTCTGTCGTCACCAGTTTATTTTATATAATGTTATTTTTAAAAGAAAAATAGTTTAATATTACACTGTGTGTGTGTGTGTGTGTGTGTGTGTGTGTGTGTGTGTGTGTGTGTGCGTCTGTATGCGTCTGTGTGTGTGTGTGTGTGTGTGTGTGTGCGTCTGTCTGTGTGTGTGTGTGTGTGTGTGTGTGTGTGTGTGTGTGTGTGTGTGTGTGTGTGTGTGTGTGTGCGTCTGTCTGTCTGTGTGTGTGTGTGTGTGTGTGTGTGTGTGTGTGTGTCTGTGTGTGTGTGTGTGTGTGTGTGTGTGTGTGTGTATGCGTCTGTGTGTGTGTGTGTGTGTGCGTCTGTGTGTGTGTGTGTGTGCGTATGTGTGTGTGTGCGTCTGTCTGTCTGTGTGTGTGTGTGTGTGTGTGTGTGTGTGTGTGTGTGTGCGTCTGTGTGTGTGTGTGTCTGTCTGTCTGTGTGTGTGTGTGTTTTAGCCTCACAACATGACTCACACACTCGTCAGGTATGAGACTGCCGCTGCCCCTGAGCCAGGCACTGACCTCAGAGCTGCTCCTCTGAACACAGAGGTCCAAAACCCCCACAGTGTGTGTGTGTGTGTGTGTGTGTGGGGCATCATGTCACTGTTGGCCAGTCGCGCTCTCTCTGTCTCTCTCTTTTTCTCTCTCTCTCTGTCTCTCTCTCTCTCTCTCTCTCTCTCTCTCTGTCTCTCTCTCTCTCTGTCTTTCTCTCTCTCTCTCTCTCTCTCTCTGCCTCTCTCTGTCTCTCTCTCTCTCTCTCTCTCTCTCTCTCTGCCTCTCTCTCTCTCTCTCTCTCTCTCTCTGTCTCTCTCTCTGTTCTCTCTCTCTCTCTCTCTCTCTCTCTCTCAGGGGTTTCTTTCCATCCGGCCACTCTGATTGGTCGTGGCCTCCAGAAATCGCTCTAATCCTCTTAGATAAAACAGAGCCCTCGTCCAATCCCCTGCTCCAATCCCTCCCCTTACTCTCCCCCCTCTCTCCCTCTCTCCCTCTCTCTCCCTCTCTCTCTCTCTTTCTCTCTCTCTCTCCCTCTCTCTCTGTCTCTCTCTCTCTCTCTCTGTGGGGAAGAGGAGTTTTTAATCCAAGTGGATTACGTTGCAAATTGGGTGACAGTGGAGGCGAGCGGCTGCAAAATCTGCCCGCAGACTACCGGCTTTCTGTCTTCCTAAATAAACGCAAGGTGGAGAAATTAACCCACTTATTAGTCCTGGTTTCAACGAGGAGCAACCTGGAAGAACCTGGAAAACCCTGGAGAACCTGGAGGAAACTTATAGAGTCTGTGAGAAGAACCAGTTTTCATCTTTAACCTGAAGAAGTTTCTTTCTTCTCCTTGCACCAAAACTACATTTCAGCTCTCTGTCTGTTTGTCCTGGAGGACGTTAAAGCCATCAAAGATCATCTGGAAGTTTCTTCAAACAGGATGAGAAGCTAAACCAGGAAGTGGCGAGAAGATGCCGGCAGCAGGACGGGTTTACCCGGACGTGTCGGAGAGCATTCGGGGTCGTCGTCCGCTCGCCGTCTCCCCCTCGCTTTAGCCAACATGAGGAAGCCGTTTCCCACAAACTCTTTATGATCCTGTCGAACTTTCAGAGCCGAAACCAGTTCGCAAAAAAAACTGCCGCCAAAATTTTTAGTTAAACGCAGGATGGAGGGCAGGATGCCGGCGATGAGGAAGCTCCTGGGGATTCTGGGATTTTTCTGCCTGTGGATTACAGCTCAGGCTCAGATGAAGATCCCACCGGAGACGTAAGTGTCAAACCCAAACAGCGTGTTCACCCTCGGGGTCTTTTAGGGCTTTCTATCATTTTACATCCATTACTGGACTCATATTAGATCTTTGGAAACAGTCCACAACATACGATGATACGACTGAGAGACTGAGACTGATACAGTCGTTTACAATCTGTTATCATTATCATTGACTAAACTAACGACCTTTCAGTAAATCACATGTTTTATGGATATTTCATATTATATTCAATGCAGAGTATTTACTGTGAAGAAGAGATGAGTTTTGCTGATATTTTTAGGAACTTTTTTTGTCTGTTTTATGTATTTTTTTAATTTTCAACTGTCATACAGACTGGTCGTTGTTCAATTAGACAGTTTACATTTACTTTTCTTCACACTGAAATATAGGCCAGTAAAGCCGAGACAGTAATAAGAGTATCTGAAATATTTCCACAAAGACATTTTTTTCTTCCTGTTTAATAATAGGAAACTATTGACTAAAGTTGATTTCAGTTTGGCTTTAAATTGATCCACTCAAACATTTTATTTTCAGCTGAACCTCCGACAGCTTGGACATTTTGTAGGTTAGATTCACGTTGTTCCTCTTATCTCTCCGTGCAGCAGTTGGTCCGTAACACGTAAACCAAAACCGAAACCAGGTCCAGCTGCAGTCTGGTTGGTTAACAGCTCCATTAATGGGACCCTGTTAGAGCAGTGGGCTGAGCAAGGCATTGCACTGGGCAGCTCCCAGTGTGGATGTAAAAACAGTCCTGACTGGACTTGTTCCAGATAAATAAACTCCCAGAGTGCACTGTGTTGCCATGAGGATCCTGAGGGAATATGTTTGTGTCAGCTGACTGCAGTTTCCCCTCAGGACTCACTGAAATCTGCTCTCCTCTGTTTCTGTCCTACAACTGCTTTTAACCTCCAGTGTGAAACATTGAGGAGGATCTGTTGATATTAATAGGTGTGTTTTCATTAGTGTATAATCACCTGAGAATAACAATTGTTGTGTTTTCGTTACCTTAGAATGAGACTACAGAGTAGATTATACGTAGTCTGCTATGTTTCTACAGTATGACCAACAAACAAACCAAACACTGACTCTAGATGGTCTTTTTTTGCAGCCACCGTAGTTTCTCCTATATGCTTGGTTGAGGCGAGGGGGTTTCAGTTGGTCGAAATCTGCAATTTCACCACTAGAAACCACTAAATCCTTCACACTGGTCCTTTAAATCACCTCCTGTTGGCTGTAAATGAACTGCAGTTCCTGTAACGGCCACTAGAGGCTCCAGCAGTGAGTCAGTCTCCATAAGGCCAGTAAGTTTCAGTAACCAGGCTTCGTTCAGCTTCAGCGCCACGCCTTTGGCCCTTTTTAGATTAGCCTGGAGCCGGCAGTGTCAGGACTGCCAAGGTGGCGACGGCCAGAGCCGACCACACTGAGGTCCGTCTAATCAAACCTTTAACATTAACCAGCACAACTTCATGTTTAACCTTCAACCTCAACCACAACACCGCATCGTAACCTCCAAACAGCTCTCTGAGGAGCTCTCTCCATCAAAACATTCCCACTTTCCAGACCCAAAAAGAGAGAGATACAGGAAAACATTTTATTCCCAAAGAAAGGAAATGTCACAATAAATACAAAATAAAAATAAAATATAAACACTCATTAAACTAAAACAACTGATCTTTAAGACAAAAATGTATCTAAAGGTTAATTTTAATATGAAATCATTGCAGAAAATTTCACAAGAACTTTTATTTTAAAATCCACCTCAACTGCATTTCCCAGAATTCACCTGTCAGACAGTCGCAGCGGTGCCGTTGTTTTCCTTCCTGTTGTGGTTGCTCATGTTAACAGCCTCATTAGCATGAACCTGTCAGACAGTGTTAGTGGAGCAGCAGTGGCTCCCTGCAGCAGGACGATCCTGGAGGGCACGCTCTCCCTCCTCCATCACCATCTGTGTGGCCAGCATGGCTCGCTATCCAACCCCCCCACCCCACTCTACCGTCAGCCCGGTCACCTTCTACCCTGACCCACATTCACCGCCCGACTGACCACTGCATGCCTGCACGGAGACCGCCATGTTACCTGGTTACAAACACGCCTTGAAAACAACGTAGAAAGTGAAAATTAAGTTCAGAATTAAAGTATTTGTGCTTCTCGTCGACCAACAGTCAACGTTGTTTTTAAACTTGAATGCAAAGAGTCCAAAATGAGATCTTACATTGTTGCACATGTGGGTCGTTTGGAGGACTTTTAGTTTTTAGTCTTATATTTATTTTTGTTGAGCATTCAGACTAAATATCTAGGGATGTACTTTACCTTTAACTTATAATCCAGTGTGATATCGGCACTTTTTATGACCGTTTTTAACGATACGAATATCAATATTGATCACTTGATGAGTTTGTGATTTTTATAAAATAATGGTAATTTTTCTTAAAAGAGAATGAAAATTACGCTTAAAGGCAAATCACAAACTGGTCATTAATAAAATAATAACATATCATCACATAATATAACTGATTAGCACAATGACAACAAATTTTAGAACATGATAACCTTTTTTGTCATAATGTCACATTATAACTGTTATCACTATATAAAAGGAAACCTCTTTTCCACAACAATAATCTATTTATGTTGTCTTGTTGTTATGATTTATTACATTATAACTTATAGTTATAACAAAACATTTCATGACATTACGTGTTAAAAAATATACAATTGATCTTGTATTACAATGTGAAACTCTTCATATTTTAACCTAATAACAATAAATGTAACTTACGTTACGTTATAACATACAGCTCAGATTTTCCTTTTGTGGCAGTAATAAGCTTCCATCGCTGTGTGATTTAGGACTATTTGAGTAAAACAGACAATCACAGAGCGTTGGTTTGATGTTGCTTCTAGATTGATCCATCTTGCTTTCTCGACCACAAAGTCAATATTTCAGACTTGTCAGCTAGAGCTGGAAAACTGATTCAGACTTCATCAGAATATCTGTTTTTGGGACACTTGTAGTTTCTGCTGGTGGTTATTTGTTATTGCGTCACATGACTGGCAGTTTGACCTTCTTTCTGCTGGTTGTAACTTGTAAAATTAAACGATGGCTGCGTTTGTTATCCGGTCAATCCGTCGGGCGGATCGGCCTCAGCAGGAATCAGAGTCAGCTGATTAGATTTTGGAGGTGATCTTGATAAAGGATTTAATTTTATTGGGTGTTTGTAGTTGAAATTGGTGACAGATGGAAAGACGCTGTAGGTATATAAGCTGAAACATCAGGGCCCGTTTATTTGAGTGAGCCTGGGTGTATTTTTGATGTTTGAAGCTCTTGTTAAGAGCCCGAGATAAGAGATAGAAAGTAAATCTGTGGAGAGCTGGAGGCCACACAGAGGGATTTACTCAGCAGCTGCAGAAGTCGTTCTGAAACTGAAAGACAAACAGGTTCGATCCCGAGTTGATCAGCTTTGTGTCCTTAGACTGAATCCCTCACTGGCAACAGATAAAGTCTGTAAATGGAAACTACACACGAGGCCAGACTTTTCTCTTTCTATAGGTCAAACACCAAAGGGGCCAATGTTGGTAATAAACCCTGAATAACCCAACTAATGCAGTCTTATAGTAATTGTGTCCAATTAAATGGTGGAAATCGGTCCCCAGGGGAGATTAAATGTACTATATGTAATTTCTGCCACTAGGGCGATCATGGGGCGACCACCGGTGCAGGAGGTTTTTAGGGGCCCTGCCACAGAGGTCCCCTCAAACAAACAGACCCGCAGATTAAAAGTTGATGGCGAGGTCCCGCCCAACGCTGCTTGCAGATTTAATTTATGTTATTTTTGTTCATTAAGTTTTAGCTAAGTTTGTTTATTTTTAAATATTTTTATTGTCGGACTCTTTTGTTTTTTTATTCCTTTACTCTTTTTCTGTGATGTCATCGAAATGTGTGATGTCATTCAAAGAGCAAAGCCAGTAGAATGTTCCTTTGATACAAAGACGAACATTCCGTCTGAAAATGCATAAATAGGATCTAAATCCAACATCAGTTCAGACTCACTTCGAACACAACGACAAACAGAAAGATTCTTCAGGACTTTGGATTTAAGGACATAAACAAATACAAGGATGGATCAAACAACAACTGAGAGCCTTCGCGCGCACATCCGCCAGTGCCTGGAGAAGCTGACAACCATAGAGTGGTCGCTTCTGAAATCCGGGTCCCTCGAAAAGGAGACCGAAGAGATTATAACTGACATGTGCGTGGATATTGTGAATACGATATTCATCCACATATATGGGGTGTTTAGAGAGAGGCAACTGAAGGGGAGAGACACTCCCAAATCCTCCAAAAGCTCTCCTGGATCAGCCAGATCACAGAAGAGCAGTGTATCTGAAGACGACGTCCGTGGTTGCCTGGGGGACTTCATCTCTCTGGCCTTATCGGAGGCCACCGGTGTCCCAGACATCAGTTCCCGAAGTGTGGGGAAGCTAACGGAGGCCGTGATTTCAGAGGTCACAGAAAGATTCAATATGGTCTCCGAAAGAAGTGGAGACGATGAGGGAGGCAGACCTCTCATCTCACCTTCCTTCACCGAGAGACTAAAGACCATGGTGCAACATGTGGTCAAAATCTTGAAGTGTGCCATAAAGAAAGGTCAGCAAAGCCTGACAACGGAGGCAGCGGAAAGCCAGATAACACTGGACAACTTGCCAGCGCAGGACCCAGTGCTGGTTGGAACGGAGGAGTCCTGCTGCACCCCCGTTGTTCCTTCTCTTGATGAGACCGAAACAGAGTCTCCGAAGAGCTTCACGGACAAAGTCACAGAAGCTGTAAAAATCATTGTACAAGAAAGGGCCAAGATAATCAAACCAATTGATTACTTCGTCAAGGTATCAGAGGAAGATCGCGACATGTTCGAGTTGGAATCCTCCTACGACATGGCTGAGGTGGCTTCTGCAATTGTCGTTGAGATAATTGAGGAGTTGAAACTCAATTCAGAAG